ATCAGATTGATTTTCTTCAGTGAAGATTATTGTACTATGGGATGCTTCGTTATCACATGATATTTTATTCGGCTGCTCGGAATCGGTCTCGGTCGAGGAGAAAGTTTCATTCGCTTCACTTAAAGTGGCAAAACAAGCGATTGGTTTACCTTCGTACGAGATCGGACAAAATCCATACCTTTGGGGATTTTTTACAATGTATTCAAATAAATCAATCGGTATGGATGGTAACTCTTTGCTAACAATACCGTGGTAAATACGATGAAATGCATAGTGCGCAGGCCGAGAATGTCGACGAATGAAAGATCTAAGCACTTCTATTACATTAAAAGGAGGTGGGCGTCGTAGTTGACCTTCCAAGACATGGTTGATGTATTGTAAATGGAAATCGTAAACAAAAGAATTAACGTGAATCGTTTTCTTGAATTTGCCACATTCTTCGGTAAATACTCTTATGCTTTGTCTATCAGTATCGGCGGCTACAAATTCGGGAGCTGCCAAACGTCTATGACCATATCGTCGATTTAACGTATACAAAGTCACGCATACGAAAACTCCTTGAATTCGAATCTCACACATTATGGAGCCACCCTGAAGTGCTTTCAATAAAAACACCGAGGAATAATCAGCAAGAACATTATCCGAAGCAGGAAATTTAGACGTATAATTCGAGAACGCTTTGTCACCATCGTCTACCAAGCTCAGACCGGACTTTCCGCCCATGACTACTTGCATCCCGATCCTTTCCAAATAAGTCGAATATTTTTGCAAAAAGTTTTCAACCATATCCTCATACCACTTGAATATCATAACTTTATCCTGTTGTTCAGGTAAAATTACCGAAGATTCAACCTTTTCTCCAAATAACAACGGCGTTCTACAGAAATGTAAAAGTCGAGAGGTACGGAATATTATCGCTAGATCCGATTTTGCTATTACCTCGTTCGCGTCTGTATGATCTTTGTTTTCTTGATACCTCTTTGCCCATTTCTTGTAAACTTTCTCTGCATTATCATGAGCTTGAGTTATCTTGGCTTGTCTTATACATGTTTCCATAAATGGAGAACCATGTCTCATGAGGGCATCACGACTCACACAAGAAATATCACCTCTAGCCACCTTTTCAACACAAGAATCCTTTAGCACATCGTTCAAATCTAAAGAGGTTAATGAGAATCGATTTGCTTCCAAATCGGTTGAATATGAATTGAACACTTCATTGCACGACTCTAAACTCTTTTTAATGTCCTGCTGTGGAAATCGTTCAAGTATCAGAGAATTTATGTGCATCAAATCTGTTGCCATACTTTGTCCGTTTGATGATATTGCAGCATTTGAACGTTGACCGTTCCCTAGCATCGGAGATTGCAGGAGTCGAGGAGTGTTAGGCAAGCTCTGTGAAAATGGGGTCTGAGGATGTAACTTTAAGGATATATTGCTCGAATGATAAAATAAACCCATCTTTTGATG